GTAAGGTGCACTTAGAGCAAACTTTTTCTTGAGAAGAGCACTCGCCATCAAGCGAGTCACCAAGGAAGGTCTTCTACAAGAATACCACCAGAACTGTTCACATGTAGACACAAGGTAATCCTAATAGATAGTTGGTCGATGGAATGATTATTGGCTTGTTTTTCTCCAATATATTTTTTTTTTTAATAAATAAAATGAAAATAAAAAGGGGGAGACGAGAGAAAGAAAGAGAGATGTATACTGAAATCATCACACCCCTGAACAGAAAGGCGGGTAAAGTCTGATGGTCTCTGGACTTCCTTAACGGAATATCCCTTATCTGTGTTCATGTATGCAACCTGTTTGATTTTAGGTGAATGAAATCATAATGAATGGGGCATGAAGCTGAACAGGAGCATATTCTGCTGAGATATCAGTCGGAGCGCGAAGCCCAAAATACATAACAGAATAACACTGTCCTCGATTCAAAACTTTAAATTTTCCCACATTATGTCTGAACGACTGTACCTCAAGCAGAGAATATATCCCTAAAATATTTTCTTTACTCAAGTGGTTGCTTCTTCACACTAGGCTGTCTATGTATCTGACGACTGGTTAAAAACATGGGCAAATTAATAATGTAATAAAGTCAGAGAAAGCAACCATATTTAATGTCGTTTCCATGTAGTATTCCCTGTACACGCTATTTTTGGATTCTGAGTGCATTATCTACCGATCTACTAATTCCAGAAGAGTTTTCAAAAGTCCAGAAAATAAAGATAGATGTAGCACAAGTAACGCTCGTCTGCAATTCGCAGAACCCTTACTGGAAGGATGCCTCTTAATATGCATCTTTGCCCAATTCTAAGCAGGACTTAAACTTTAAGGTCAAGATAAGATACAATGAATAATCATGGTAGGCTGTCATTGTTGTATCTTATTATGTTGATAATCAGGACAGATGGACCCGCAAAGGAAAGGAAAGGAAAGCGTAAAGTTTGCATTGGTAAAAAACGTTTAATTGAAAACAAATTTTTATCGAAATTTTTGAAGTAACCGCTAACAACTGCGTTACTTGTTACTAATAAGAAAGTAATACATGTGTGTTACTTTGTTACTCTTAGTAAAGTAACAAAGAACAGGTTTTTTGTTCTTTTCTCAAAAAAGCTTTCTAAAAAGGGTTTTGTGGGGGTGAGGGTGAACTAATTCCACCCTCACCAAACCCTTCAAAAAGCGCACCCGTGAAAGTGAAGTTAAGTATTTAAAATATTATTGAGTCGTTTTCCCTCGATGTTGTAATTTTGGCACAGGTTTTCCATTTCTTTTCAAATATAAGTGTTATATGGCTTTATGTAAAAGTTAGAATATTTTCTCTCCACTCACGTTTATGTAGAATAGTGAACGAAGAAAATACAACACGAAGTTTATTCTGGGATCTACCACTCATAACTTGCTCATTTTTTGACGAAACTGAACAGTTTGTTTAATAGCAGAATTTTTGTGGGAAAATAGTCAAACGTCGACGGTAAAATGTCGAAAAAAAATGTCGACAATGTAAAAGGTCGACATCATGAAATACAAAGAAAAGAAGCTGTTGATGAAAAAATAAAATTGGAGCATGAATAAATTAAATTTATGGTTTATTAGGTAAAATTCGAATACATGTCAATGAAAAATAAAATAAAAATGCATATGAGTGAGAACGAAGAGCTAGAGTCATACCCCATGTTATCAAAACCGGTAAAATACCGCCCGGTGACCGCTCGGTTACCAGTAGAATAAAATGGACGGTTTAGCGCTAGCGAAACTGGGATTACCGCACGGTAACCGCGGTAACCGTGCGGTATTTTAGTTAAACCAAGGTTACCGTTCGGTTAGCAATGCGGTAGAATCGACGGTAAATCTTGATTTTCCTGTTAAATTCACAGCCTACTACGACCACAACCCAGGTTCGAGTTATCGTCAGCACTATAAGTTTTCGTTTTTTTCGACCGTTCGGCCTGTTCTTTTATTATGTGACTAGTTTTTTGAATTGCAAGATCTTAACAATTTAATAAATAAAAAAAAATTAAAAATCATTCAAACTTCTTGTTTTACTTGTTCTTACATGAAAACTCATATCTTATACAATACCGAAAGAGAAAACAGCGTTCTGTCCTTTCCTAGTGCTCTTCTTCTCTTAATTCGTTGCTTTCATATGAGTTTGCTTCTTCCTCTTTTATACTATAAGCAGTTGTTGTTTTGGTTGAAGCATATAATGACTCAATATTTAAACCTGAACGACGAAATCGTGATCTCATTACTTGTCGACGAATTGGAGATGGTGTTGAAGGCTGATTATTGTAGGCTTTTGATAAATTTCGACGTTTTTGTAAAAACACATCGTGAAGCCTTGGCCATACTTGATCAAATTTCTTTTTATTTAATTTAAAACGAGATCGAACAGCTTCTAGAATCAAATAAACATAAGGCTGATAATTAGTGCTTGCAAAGTAGAAGAAAGTCTCCGGTGCAATGCTAAAGCAGACTAGCAACTAATACTGGCTAACTGCCTAAGGCGAAATTATAGTTTAGCGACTATCGAAAGGGTCTCAATTCAGAGGAATTTGTTAACTGTTTAGTGACGCTTAAGGCAAAATTTTAGATAGCGGAGATAGCGCTAGTGTTTTCCTGGGAATAACTTGCCTTTTATCATCATATAACCTTTGTTTTGTTGAATACCAAATGTCTCTAAATGAATAATCTCCTCGGCATTAGCATAAACGACATCCATCATCATTGTAACATATAGATTCATATAATTTGAATCAGCTTCTAATGTCAATAGATTAATTTGCTCCCCACCACGTTCGCAAAACTGCAAAAGCACGAAGAACATAGAGATAATTAGTGCAAAAGCGTTAGGAGACACTTACTACAGCTGTTTCAAATTTTTCTTCCGATGTTTCCTGCCCCTCTTGTTCTGGCTCACCTTCTGGTTGTTCTAATGGAATGTGAATCTAAAACACATAAGTTGTTCAGCAAAAATAAGGAAGCAGTAACTGCCGATGCACATACATTACGATGACTAAACGTCTTTTGTATCTTGACTTGGTTTTTAAATAATAGTTGAAACATCGTATCATGCTTCTTTTGTGTTGTTACAATTTGATTCAGCTTTTTCTGAGTATCATTGCTAAATTCTGTCATTGCCAATTGAATAGACGAATGTACAATCTTCTTCAGAATTTGCTCATTCAGTGCTTCTGGTGACAAGACAGTTTTTCCAGCTAAACGGTTAACAGACGACGTTGCAGCTGTTCCTGTTGTTGTTGTTTTGGACGTAATGCTATTACTTGATCATTATTTTTGTTTTTTTGACAAATGTGCTGCACCTTTACTTGTTTTCGGTTTAGATCTGTTGATCTCGTCATCTTCACTTAAATCCATGCCGCTTTCGCTGTTTCTTTGGTGTGGAAGGAACACCAATCATTCTATAAAGATCAGCTAAAGAGTCTAAAATTAAGAAATGGATAACGGAAATCGTTAGAAGAAGAATAAAAGGATTAGTAATCCTCAGTTTTACCTCAACTACAGTCGCAAAACTACTGAAAGAGAGAAAGTAGGGCGGAGATTCGTCTCCGATGAGGACAACTAGAGCTACAATCAGGCAGTTGGTTTAAAACACTCTTTACCTTGTGCTTTCGACGCGGTTGCTTGATTTTTCGATTGATTATTAACCGGTGTCACTGTCGTAACTGATGAAGGTAGTGCATCTTTATTTGGTACTGAACTACGTACAAATGGAACATCAGTAAGAGTAATGATTGACTTTGAAATACCTAAGAAAAGATAAAATAAACAAATAATCGATTCGATAGAGACATTATCTTTTGGCAACGCTGTCAGTTTAGCGGATAAATCAATGAATGATAAGTTTGTAAATAGTGCTTGTATCTTTTGAATAGTTTTATGTCATTCAAATCTTGCTGATGTGCTAATAGTAAAGCAGTAAATGTATCACGATATTCAATCATGAAATCGGTTTCGATTTTGAATTCATTTAACAGAGATGGCGGTGCTAGTTCAATTTTTTTGAATGGCAGCATGTTTTCTAGTTCTATCCAGTACGAAATTTGTGTGGCTAGATTTCGACTTCCATGTGCCTTTGATTTGACATACCGAATGGCAGATTCAAAACAAAAGGCTGAACAAAATGCCAAGCCTCCATGTTGACGTACTTGTGAGGGAAGATGTAAATGACAATGGACTGAGTATAATTCTAAACCTTGATCATATACAGACGCAGCAGTACGACAAAAATAATGGATTAAATCTTCAGCAAATTGTATTTCATTTGAATCGATTGGACAATGTAAAATTCTTATAACTATACCTACAAGAGAAAAGAAGATAAATATAAGATACTTTGAGCAAATCAATCGTCGCTAAATCGACACATGTCGTCCCTCCTAGTTCTCGAACGAAGAAAAGTAAAAAGACCGTCGCTAAACAAAACTTTCTATTTCTTTCTTATTTTATGGCGGTGATAAGCATAGACAGTCGTCGCTAAACTAACCGCAGCCTACTTCTTCTTATTCTATCTGGAGAAGTCTCAGTCTTGCCGCACCGCACTAAACCTAACGAACAAAATAGAAAGCTACCAACTCACAGTAACTGGCAAAGTGACTGGCATGGAGAATAGGCAAATAGGAAATAATAATTGGTAATCCAATGTAGAGCACAAATGTTCTAAAATTTTTGGCTTTCCAATCGTTTGGTGATGTAATTGAATGAATAAATGGAGTGTTAAGATTGTGTGGTAATCTAACTGAGTGAAGTTTTTGATCGATGATAGTGACGTTATTTTTCTCAATTAATTTTTGCCATCTTTTAATCAGATTCATTGTAGTTCCTAAACATACGAGATGCATATAATCATATATCACTTGCGTTGGATATTCAATTATTTCTAACAGTTTTGATAATCCTTTTACACCGTCAATAGTAATTTCATGTCTTCTACCATCGTGGTTGATAATAGCCGCTTGCTCCGCCGTTGCCAAGAACTGCTGATGTGTACGAGGCACAAATTGGTATTGTGCATATGGATACAGAACTTGAGAAAATTCCGTACTATAGTTCCCTGAAAGTAAAAGAATAACTAGTTACAGAGCTATTTCTTAACTAAATAGCAGTTCCTAAACTAAGCCACGGTGCTTTATAATGCTCACTCTCTTCTACACCAATCGCTAAACTAAAAAAGAGGATTCACTGTACTGTTTTCTTCGTCTTAAGTCAGTCGCAAAACTCTTAAATGTACAAGTGATAACAGAAGCACATATACCCTTCATCATGCAACACGTGCAAGCGAAATAGCCATTAAAATTTATCACATTCAAAAATAGGGCCTAGGCAGGAAGATCACAGATGAAAAATTGAGTTTGGATGTGAATAGTGAATTCTTGTTCGTCGATATAAATAACCATACCATCTTCCATTAAATTTGATATGTCAATAACAAGTTTGTGGAGGTAGATGCTGACGTTTGGCTTTTCTCTGGCACTCCACAATGCTAAGACGATCAAATTTTTCTGTTGTTCACGAAGGAATTGAGGTAGCTCGACGATGCTGGCAAAACATGGCCATAATGATTGTTTGGAAGTACGAACAAGAGGAGCTCCGTCGACGTGCAGACACAATGTTAATTTATTCTGATGCTGATTGTTGTTCGTTTGATAATAGATTGCAGCAGGAATGTCAGCTCCTGGAAATAGAAACTGATGTTTTGTTAAATATTCAATATTACGACGTACAATAGTTTCAATATGAGATCTAATGTTTAACAATATCATTTCTATTTTGTTCATCGATGTTTGATTTGTATCAAATGAACAATGATCATTAGAGCATTTGTGTTGACCGTTTCTTAATTTCGACAGTGGCAGATAACAAATAGAACATAAATAGGAGACATTTGATGTAAGTGTTTTGTCGTATAGGCTGAGAACTTTCTTCAATGTTGTAGGTGGATAATTTGGAACAGGTAGAATGGATCTGATCAGTCTGAATAACTTTTGTGTGTTGTTTTTATCAATTTTTTTGCATCAATACAAAATCTAGTTATTCTCGTTACAGTTTCTTGCACTCGAAGTGGACTATTTTCATATAAGAGTTTTGATCGATCAGTGTTGAATTCTTGGTCATCTATTTCAAAATTATCATATTTGTCAAGTGTGTATTCACGCAAAACAGGAGTTGGACGAGTATTTCGTGGAGTGATGGCTATATCTTCAAATGTATAGTTTTCATTATTATCATCAGAAAATACGTCGAGACTTTCTTCTTCTGAGCTGCTGGATGGTGGAAGCAAAGGACGACGTCGTTCTCTTTTCTCTCTAGCTTTTTTAGTTTGGGTGTAGTCCATCTGAAACACGGAAAACAAAAAGAAATTAATTCACAAAGTGTTTCAGAGTTGCGAAGCGCAGTATTAGCCGCTTAAAACACATCAGCGCACGTCGAAAGAATATTCCGCTATCTTTGCAAGCGTCGCTAAACTGAAGACTGGCTAAAACTAACCTTCTTTCTTTCTTCAGCAAGCGCCGCTCAAACAAAAGAAGCAAAAATGAGCTTTGCCCTGAGTTTCTGAGGGTCGCTAAACTGTTTTCGCGAACAAAAAAATATCGAGCTCAATGGCAACCGCACTGTGTTGAGACAGGGAGAGAGCTATTTTTACATAGCAACAAGAAATTCGTAGTTTATGAACCCGCTCTTCTCACTTCTGCAGAAGTCGAGTTATTCGTACAATCATTCCTTTTGCTTTCATTGAAGGAGTTGTCCGAGCGCCAAGAACACAGCTAAAAGAAGTGTCATTTAACCTAAAATATCTGAAAGAATGGGAAATCTCTCGCTATTTTAGAATGAAAAGATCGAACAAACGAAAACTAGAGAAAAAAAAAATTCTAGCTCACACATAAAAGGTTCCTCATTAAATAAATTAAACTAACTAAAAGGCTCCTTTTATGCGTAAGCTAGAACCCTTTTTGGTTTAGCATTAGTGCATTTGGTAGACCAATCGCAGTATGGCTATGTTCCTCCTTCACAGACACATTTCACAGATGGCCTATCGTTGTTTGGTTTCTAACCGAACGGTTTTATTATCATACCGCGGTCTGTGACAAATACCAACGGTTACCGGCGGTTCAAAAAAATACCAACAGTCTACCGGTCATTAAACCGCTGGGTACGGTTCACCGTCGGTAATCTATTGAACCGGCGGTATTACGAAAAAAAGTGCGACATGTACCAACACATTCGTATAATTTTCATTTTGTGCCGACAAGATCGCAAACCACATTACCGCGAAGATTCGTTTATTAGAAAAGAAGAATAAATGAGCCTGGCTTTGTATTTTATATATCATATCGCGGGAGATGGAGAGGGGGAAGGGCATAACAACAACAAGTAGTAACAGTAGTAACGATTTACTACTGTACAACAATTATCTACTGTCGACAATTTACCTGTCGACATTTTATCTATCGACATTTTGTTTTCGACATTTGTCTACCTAATCATTTTTGTTACATTTCTAAGTAATAAAAGCCTTGTGACTCTGATACTAAAAAACCTATTTAGTTTCGATAAAAAAATTATTACGTTATGAGTAGTGCCCTATTGAAGCTGTTTTTCTCAAGCGCATGACTTCCTGAATCTCTTGAGTAACAGTCTCATAACGCGGAGACATTTTCTTCATGCAAAACGTATTTTTTTCGGAAATCATACACTTGACTTTCTTGACTCAAGTAATTGAGTTTCGTATGTCAAAGAAACGCATGCGCATGAAATCTTATCTCAGAGCACTTGAGAATTTCACACAATTGGCTTTAAGCTTGACTCTCTTCAAGTATTCAGATTCGTTTAAATATTTTTCCCCTCATGCGCATACTTCAACCAACACAAGTCCATTATATGAGATAAGAAAGCCAGGCACAGACCTCATATCAAGCACATTGGGTGAATAAGAAACTCATCTACATGGAGACAATTCATGAGCATGGAATCTCGTGCGCTTGAGAAAAAACCTTCACGGAGTAGATTCTAGAAAACATTTTCTGTTGTATTTTCTTCGTCCTTCACTTGGCATTGAACCTCCAAAACTATTAGTTGTCTTAAAAACAGTTAGTTCTCGATGTTCCCAGAGAAGAACTCATCAAACAACAAAAGATGAATTTCTCGTTTGTCGCGGGATAGAAAACTTGTATTGAATGAGCACTTATACGACTCAGAAACCTCACACAACTCTTCGTACAAGTATCCACACTGCATAATATTCATCTACATCATCTACTTAGGGAACAAATTAGATGCTAGGTATTTTTTTGCAAACGCTCAATATAGTTTCCTCAGTATTATATACAAATTATCAGTAAACAGATCAAACTATATCAGTGCATAATTTAATGC